ACAAATTCGCTTTTCTGGTTACCCGTAATGACTGCATCTAGTTGGAATCCTAACAATTCACCTAACTTCTCTAAATGAAGGCTGCTACCTTGAACTGTATTTATTTTAACTCGTTTCGTAGCTTTATTGCAGATTATTGTAAGCCGACTTGGATAATTAGGTGAAACAAGTTGTGTATAGCTGATACAATATCGAACATTGATTCATAACACCCCACATCCATTGTTTGCTTAACAGTCGATGCGATCGTGTATCGAAAATAATTATTAGTTTCATTAACGTTCAGCCAAGAATGCGGATAGATGATTTCCCATTCACCTCTTAAATCTACTGGTATAGGTAATTGAGTTTTGAAATAAGAGATTTTGTTATCAGGAAGAATCGCGTAGAGCGATCAGAAGGTAACGTCACGTAGAGAGACATTTCTAAAAATGAACCTTTAACAAATACGCTTCACTATTTATACTTTTTGAACATCCGTCACCCAATCATTAAACTTTGTCGAATAACCTAAAAATTTAACAAAGTATTGTTTCTCTCCATTGATTTTTTTCCTCTTAATTATTTTTCAACTGGATAAAATCCAGAATCGACTACTTTTTGTAACTCTTCTGCATAAAAGGTACCTTCGATTGATTCATTCATTAAATCTTTTAATTTATACACTATAGGATTTCGTGGATTATTTTATCTATTACAAATAATTCACGTGTCCAATTATTTTCATATCCTTCTTCAAGGTGACGTTTAGATTTACTGATACGAACAGTGTCATCTATTTGAAGAACAGCCTTATCATTATTCATATTATCACTCTATAAATTATTCTATACTTCTTTTTGATTATCCATATTCACTGAGGCTGGTTCCATTTTTATACTTCTGTGTTTGATATGATTATAACAATATACTAACTTTGAAATGACATCAATATATTTTTTCGTGTTATATTCTGTAAAGTATTTCCACATCTTAGTTTTTAAGGTACGATTAAATCTTTCAACAATACTTGCTTTAGTTTCATTATTTGTAGTAAAAAAATGAACTCCTATCTTTTTAAGATATTGTTGCACAAGTTTATTTGTAAATTCCGTACCTTTGTCTGACTGTAAATTTTCTGGTTTTCTTTCTTTAAAAATAGTTTTTAAAGCAGATAATATATTTTTGGCTGATTTGTCTTCAATAGGAACAGCCCAATCAAACTTTGAGAAACAATCTATACATGTTAAGAAATATTTAAATCTAATATTAAATCTTGCTAAAGATTGCATGTCAACTAAATAAATTTGAAATTGTTCATCTATACCTCCAACAATCACGCCGTAACTCTTCTTTTAGAAATTGTATCTGTTTTCATTGGCTTTGGACAAATTCTGATACTTTTCATCATCACAATATGTTTGCTACCTTTTTTCAATGTTTTTTTTAAAATTGATGCCTCGCCTATTATGTTTGAACACTCAAACTCCTAAATTCTATTTTCTCAGTAACTACTATTGTTAATTCTAAGATTTCACTAAATTCTTTGAGGCCTTCGGGTGTTGCCGTGGATTGCCACCAAGCCTACCTTTTTAATCCTCTTTTTCTTTTGCTGAGAGATAGCCTACAGTATTCTCCGGATGCCCCCTGACGGGGGCGGGACGGGGTTGAGCTTTGATACCTCCAACAATCACTCGATTCCGTTTAAATTTCTTTTTAACAGGTTTATGTAAAGTATAAGAATCTTTACTTTTTAACCATTTCTTAACGTCACTTTTCTTCATTTTTCCTTTCACAGAATTATAAACAACATTTACACCTACAAAACTTCCTGGATTTTCAGGTTTTTCACAAACGGATGAAAGCAAATTATCAGTAATCTATTTCAACAAATTTTAGAAATTATGAGAATTTTTTTCCTCTAATAACAGTTTAATTCTAACAGTTAAAATTAACAATCACAAACATTCTTAAAAATAATGGTACAATAATTTTAATAAAATTAAATAGTAATACCTATATAAGTATAAAATAGTTTTCCTTGTTGCATTAGAGCAAGAATTTTTTTCTTCTGTATTAAGAACCTGAAAAAAAAGTATTATTCTGAAAAAGAAAATTTCATTGCCTCTGAAAAAAAAAGAAATCTCCTTTCCTCTGAAAACAAAAGTTCAACACGTAATTTTTAAAAAATATATAAATAACAACAAAATGTGTGAACATTATTAAATACATTTTATTTTCAAGGATTATAATAAAAAAAATAATTAAATTTCAAAGGAACAAAAAACTTTTCGAACAGCAGCTATACATTCATCTAAATGAATCGCTTTCAAATAACTTTCACTTAAAGAGGTTATCAGTTGTTCACGGTGGAAGAGTTTATTCTCAATGAGTTCTTCTTCGAAGTCTCTCACAACTCCCACGACGTTCAAAAACATACACGACTCATTAAAGTCCTTAACAGACACCAGGTCAGATTTCCAACTCTTCGTCACAAATTCTTATAGACGGCAGAATACTTTTTTTTCTCTCCAATGTTCTTATACAGAACACAGAAGAGGAGTTGATTCATTCGCAGCTCAGCTTCCCCATACATGTCACCGCTTGGCTTTTCCACAAATAGGCTCCTTTTCGATACCATCTTCAATGTTTTGAAGAGGTCACTGGACTTAAACTTTAGGGTTAGGTAACTGGATATCACTTCGTCCTGGACTTTTCTAATGGCGTTCCACTGGGCGAAGCTAATGTCTAGGGGGGAACTTGTACAGTCGTCCGCTCGTACACTTGTGTTCGTGAGTGAGCCTGTACTTGCCGTCATTAGCCATGAGCATATAAAATTCTCTCTTGTCGCATTCATTGACCGCCTCAAGAGCTAGGTTGATTTCCACGATGTCGAAAATGGAGGTGGGTGGACCATGTTGCAAACACACAGTGAACTGTTCTGGCTTAAGAGTGCTTATAAGTATTGCCACCCTAAACAAGTAAAATAATAAGAATAAGTGCTGCCACCACCAGAGAATAATAAATAAAATATTTAAAAAGTAATAATAAAAAGAAAATGATATCAAAATTGAAACCACAGAAAGGCAGAAATAAGTTAATGGAGAGAAATAGACAGTGAATGACGTATTTCCAGATGAAAACTTAAAAGTGTTGCCACCCTCAAAAGGTAATAATTGAAAATATTAAAAAACAAAACTAAATTAAAAACAGAAACTGGGCAGAAATGAGCTGACTTCCGGTATATGACATGCAGGTTCTAGAATACTTCTTCACTGGCACGGAGAGTAGCTCAAAACTTCGTAGGTTTGTGGTCTTAAGTAATTAGTAAAAAACTTACAATTAAACAGGATACAAACACTCGAAGGAAATGTAACCAACGGCATCCTGCTAAAGAATACTTCATAGAACACCCTGGGGTCACTCTAGCCAAGAGAAATTTTATTTTATATTTTATAACCGTCGTTGAACAGCCGATCTGTTTTAGGGTTTACGACTAAAAATGTTGGTTTCGTAGTCTTGTAATTTTGAATCAAAGCCAGAAAACAAGGGATCTTTTGGATCAATTATTGGGACAAATTTTTCCTCAGTGGTGGACTTTTTGAGGGAACTAACCCACATTTGCGTTACATGGAGAGGAAAACCATGAAAACCTCCCACGACTACAAGGCGACTCTAACCCATGATCTGTCTATCACTGAGGATATTTTACGTTAGCACTGCGGTTTCGCGAACCGGGTGCGGAATTCGTATCAACCAGCGAATCCCAGCCGTCGCTCAGATTCGTACCCGGGTCACCTCATTAGAGGCGACGTACTTTATGCTAAGAAATCTAAATTCACTATCGAAATTGAAATTTTATGCATATAAATAATGTATGTGATACCTAATAAATAATTTCATGTTATTGCTTCTATATTTATGAATTAAATACAAGTTATATAACTTTTAAAATACGTGAAGAGATTTTATTTTGACTAAAATGTTAAAATATATTACGATTTCAAATATCTCACATTTTCGATTTAACGAAATTTAAGCAACCCCCTTCGAGTTTGTGATATCGAGGTTTGACTGAGATTATTAGCAAATTTTTTGTGTTTACCGAATTTTGCATTAAAATGAAGATTTTTATCAAGTTTGAATTAGTGCAACATATTGTATTGAATGATATTAGTGAGCGTTTCTTAATAAAAAACCACAAAAACTATTTTTCACCAGAATGGAATCATTTCCTCAAAGAGAAGGTTTGCAAAAAATAAAATTATCATTTTTCTTTTTGAAGCAAAGGAATTTAAGATATTTTCTTAATATTGAAAAATTCAATGTTTCAGTTTGCCCTAACAAGGGAGAAATTTTAAAAGAATGCCTATAAAGCGTGAGTGGTTTTATCACAAAATGTCAAATTTAAAGTGGTTATCTAAGGAGAAAAACTATATAGAAAATATTTTTACTTTTTGAGGAAAACCTGATGGGTGATTACCGAATATATAAACAAACAACTCATATATAAATTACGTTAATGTGAAAAAGTTATTTTGAGTTTAAACTTGTGATTTCATTTTAATAAAAAAGCTAAATTAAATACAAAATTAATGCAAAAATTGCAAAAATATAAATAAAGAATATGTGAATTTTATCAGTTTTTGCACTGCGGAGTGATTGATAGTTGCCAGATCAAACGTAGTCCCCGAGCCACATTTTTTGCTTTTCAGCTCGAAAAAAAATTCAGTATTTTCAATAATATCAGAAATATTTTCTAAAATCTCTTTACAATAAAAACCGAACCTAATCAAAACTATCGCTTAAATCAACATTTATCCTTAACAACCCAATATATTTTCACTCAAAATGAGCAAAAAAAAATATTATCAAAACACGCTTTTCTTCCATTATTGAATTTGCCAATTTTAATTTTGTGTTGATATTTATCTTAGGTAACCAAAGTCCCTTTTTTTTTCTTTGACAAGTAAATATCTTTTGATCAGATATTTCATTTCAGAGATAAACTGCTTGCGATAAACGGAAAAATTATATTATCTTTGGTTTAGAGTTTCCAGTGCAAATCTTTCTTTGATTAAAGTTACCCAGACATCACTCTCTCCTATTGAAAAGCTGTTTGGTGAGTCAGATTTTTTAATGCACATATAATGTTACTTTATCATTTCAGTTTTTTTATATCCCATTTTAACTGCTCTTTATCATAACACATTTTTATTTATTTTACTTATTTTTATTAAACTCTTAAGTGAAGAAACAAGATAGGGTAACTTAGTGCATGATAAATGTTGTTTCTATAATAAACTGCGGAACCATCTCTATTTTGAGAGGTCTTCTAAGCTGTGTCTGTACGTGGTGCTCCTTGGAAAATGATTAGGAACTTCCGATTTTCCCCTATATAGTTGATGTAAATATAATTTTTCATTTTTGAATTTTCTTCCTAAAAAGACAGATCATAATATTTTTTCTATTGTGTTTTTCTTCAATTTTTTAATTTTCATACTTTTTGTACCCAACATTAGCGGCCCTTAGAAGTCAGTAATTTTGAGTTAAAAAGCCCCACATAAATAATCATCCAAAACTGTTTAAAAATGAAACTTAATTTCAAAGATTTCTTACATTCTATTCTCGGAAGATTACTTTGCAATTGTCGTTCAGCAAAAAATAACAGGGAGAGTTATAAAAACCTCTCTAGATTAATAATTTATATAAGAATTAATATCAATTTCCCTTGTTAAAACAATTTAAAAAATTTAATAAAAGCTGACAGTTTGACAAAAATAACGAAGAAAAAAATATGAATTTGTCGTTGACCTTTGAGAGAGGAGTATCGAAGGTAATAGTGCTAGTAAATTATACATGGAGAATTATAAAAATCTCTCTAGATTAATTTATGTAAGTATTTATATTAATTCCCCTTGTTAAAACAATTAAAAACATTTTTTTTAAATAAAAGCTGACAGTCAGACAAAAAGAACGAGGGGACATATGAATTCGTCATTAACCTATGAGGGTGGAGTATCGAAGGTAATAGTGGAAGTAAATTTTACAGGGAAGGGAGAATTATAAAAATCTCTCTAGATTAATTTATGTAAGTATTAATAACGAGTCTCCTTGTTAAAACAATTAAAAAAAAATTTTAATGAAAGCTGACTGTTAGACAAAAAGAACAAGGGAAAATACGAATTCGTCGTTAACCTTTGGGAGAGAAGTATCGAGGGTAATTGTGCTGGTAAATTTTAAAGTAAAATTTTCGACGAAAAGGCATTTATTAACTTATCATATTGAAATTAAATGCTGTACAGTACTATATTATAAAAGCTATTTTCAAAGTGTTTGAATAGAAATTTTTTTGATTAGAAACGAATAGATTAGAAAATGATGTTATTCTCTAAGGTTCGTGATCATACCACCCACAGCTCACTTCGCCTACATGGTAATTTCGCTTACACGATCATATCCGCTGACTGATAGCTGATAAAATCGTGTCGTGTCTTTATCTATTTAAGTTTTCTAATCTGAAAATTAGTTTGGCATTTTTTGCTTAGATTTTAAAAGCATTATTTGAATTATTAAAAAGGATGCAATTAAATAACTTACATATTCAATATTGATGAGTCATACGCACAATTATTTTTATTTACTCAGTAGATGTCCTAAGTTCAAAATAAAATACATGTCAATTTTAATTCTTATTTAATTTTTGATGTTTAGAATGCCATTGTTTTTCGAAAATTAATTCGAAGTTCTATTCGGAAAAAAATTATTATTTAACAAAATAACGTTTAAAATATCTAAAAAAGTTTACAAAATAATTTTACTAATGGTTTTGGGATGGTCCACTATTTAACATTACATCTGACTCCCTGCTTACGGTCCTACATCTAATTTTTTCTGTAGTCCTCTGTTTCATTTATTATTTCGTTATTTATTTTTACGTTGTTCATTTAAAATTCTGTCTTTGCAATCATATTTTTGTGAAACACCTCTTTACACCTCATAAGCCACTAGAAGTTCACGCAACACTGGTTTGAAAAAAAATGATTAATAGATAAATAGTTATCTACGCAATGCTGCACAGAAACAAAATATTTACGCTGATACAGGTTTTTATATCGGTTATACTACAACAAACATATATTAATTCTAAATACCTGAGTAGCAGTAACAACATATGAGTTTCGTAAATAATGAAGCTATTCACTTCATTTTTATAAAAGTTTTTTTCAACACAAGACATGCAAATGTAGGGCCATGAATGTTATCACATTCAGCTACATTAAAAATAAACAAACAAACAAACGATATTTTATAAATCAAACATTAAATAAAATAAGTGGCATTTCGAACTTGCGAAATTTCTGCAGTTTTAATACAGTGCTCTTACTTGATATTTGGTTTTTCAATTTGTGGGTTGTTTGGCATCTTTGTCAGAGTCCCCACTTCACTCTAAAAAGAAATCTATCTCTAGAAAAGCCTTCCACATGAAAATGTTTCCGAGAGCGGATTATAGGTTTCTTCATAAATAACACTAAGTTTCTATCTTTATTAACATTTAGGAAACTTGTAAATTTAACTAAAACATTCTAACATATATAAAACTTAACCACTTTAATATTGAAGCAGCATAGAAAAAAACTGCGAAAAGGTAACCGGCGAGAACATGCCGGACTGCTAGCTAGAGCCGACGAGGAGAGAGAGCAAGCTGTGGGGAGGCGGCCAAGTTATATCCAAAACATACTGTGCGCGTTTTGCTGATTTCGCCCTTCACGCATATCTCCATTTAGGTATGACGTTTACCTCAATTATCGGCTGCAAGTGACGTAGTCCAACGTCAGAGATTCGTAGTTCGGACTTTACATTTCAGACCGCAACGCCACAAGTTTTCATCAATATTCATATTTTGGATAGCATATTTATTTGAAAGAATATTTTAAATCACCGCAGAATTATGCAAGAAATTTTTAAATCCTTCTCTTTAGAAAAAAACTTAAACAATTAATGAAGAATATTTTCAGGAATAAAACAAGAAATAGACTTAAGAGAAAAGATTTAAATATCAAAAATGAAAATAATCTTGAATTTTCTAATATTCTTGAGACTGATTGTGATAATGTCGGGCCTCATTGTAAAAATCATGTTGACGGAATTATGCGAATTCAAGGTAATGAAGGGGGGGAAAAAAGATTCCAAACTTCAGGAAATTTTAGACTATTTTTCAGATATTTTTGCTAAAAATAGATATGATATAGAGACAATAAGAATTAAACCTAAAAAGGTAAGATTAACATCAGACTTACCAGTGTCATTTATTTCATTGAAATAAAAATACTGAGGTCTTAAACTTCAGATTAACGACCATTGTGTCAATTTTTTTTACAGTTTATTTTCAAAGTATACAATCCTGAATATAAGTTTAAGATTGAAATTTTTTCTGACAAAAAGTGTCAATTTATATTTTAATTGTGTTAGTATGAGGAATAACTTTATTTATTGTGATTATCAAGAAGGACTGAAAAAACTTATATCACAAGAACTATTGTAAATGAAGATCTAACACTTCAATTTGATGGTAGCGCTACTTCAAATTTTCTTTTTCTTCCTCGAATGCTTTATGAAAAATTTTTACATTGTGTGCAAATGTGTACTTTTTATAATTCATGTTGCTTTATATCTTGTTGATATCACAAGTATTACTATTTTTTTTTCATTTTAATTGTGTCATCATAGGGAAAGTTTTGCAAAGGGTTGATTTTTAAAATTTGTTGATATTAGTTAAACTTTTTCGGCGAGGTGGGATGTAACATAAAAAGCTTCTATTAATCTTTTTATGCTAGTTCTTCACTATAAAACTTAATCCTAATTAATTATTCAAATCGAAATGCTTTCTCACACTTCTAAAAGCCACATCCTGTTCTTAAATCTATTTTTGGCCCAAGTATGCATAAATTTAAGTAAAGACATTTTTCCCTTTAATCTTCGTGGTAATCACTCGACCTATTTCATAAACCAATAGTAATTTCTAATATTTCCCTCTTTTCCCTAAATAGAGACATTTTCGGATTTTTTGCAAGATTTTCCCTACAAGAAAGACTGATTGTCGATGGAGTGAACTACACTTTTTGCTCGCCACTAAACAAAGAATGATATAATAAAATTCTTTTGCTTTCATTAAAATCATGTGTCTGTTTTCCTGCTCCGTACGACTGCATCATTTTATATATATATATAGTACAACTAGTATTTTTGGCTAACTTTTATATTTGTTTTCTAAAATAGCTAGTTTTAATTATTATAGCTTTATTAATTTTGTTTTGATTATCATTGTCTCATGTCAAAAACATACCTTGTTATTCTTATTTTAAAAATTACAAAAAGTGTTCTTATTNGTGTGTGTGTGTGTGTGCGTGCGTGCGTGCGTGCGTGCGTGCGTGCGTGCGTGTGTGTTACCGGCAAGTATGAAATCCGGCATTGTATAGAATGTCTAAAATTAGCCGGCAAAGTATGAAATGATTTATATTTCACACATATCCTAAGCATTCTATAGATTGCCAAATAAGAAACCGACAAAGTATAAAATACATCTCCCATTCGTTTCAAATATCACTTGGCAAGGCTCGTGACTTTTAACGTGTGACTTTCAACGCGTGACTCGTGACTTTTGACTAATAACAGAAATTATTTTTTTACTGTGCTACATGGAAATGGAGGAATTTAATGAAATTTACATGGAAAAAGTTTATGAAATGTAATTCAAAATATCATTCAAGCCTACCATGTGGCAACAAGTACGTTAATTTCATATTTTTTACATGAAAATTTTGTTTCCCTTAATAAGAAAGGCTTAAATTTTGTTTTGCATAACTTTTTAATTTCCTTTCCACATTTTGAATAAATGTTTTTTAATGGCACTCTCAGTATTTTTTCAGAATAACATTTTCATTTTTGACAAATACATGTTACTGTGAATGACCGAAATCGGTAGTTTTACATTTATTCGGTATTTTGATACTTACTGACGACAGATTAGAAGAAACATCAGTGTAGGGTATACCGGGCAAATGTATACCGGGCAGTGGCACTTGACCTTAAAAAAACATCTGTGTAGGGTATACCGTGCAAATGTATGCCGGGCAATGGCACTTAACTAGAACTAGTGTGACTGGATCTTTGGTAAATGTCCGAAATTTGAGATCAAGTGCCATTGCCCGGTATACATTTGCCCGGTATACCCTACATTGATGTTTTTTAAGGTCAAGTGCCATTGCCCGGTATACCCTACACTGTTTTTTGAGGTCAAGAGTCACTGCCCGGTATACATTTGCCCGATACTCCAAACACTGATGTTTCTTCTAGTCTATCGTCAGTAAGTATTAAAATATCGAATAAATGTAATTATATCCACGAATAAATTAATATCAAATCGGATGTAATAAATATTTCGGACACTCACCAAAGCGACTATGTGATTGTCAACATTCACTGGTGAAAGTCAACAACCACCATTTTCTCTCATTCACAGTAACATGCGCATCATTTACATAATGACCTCATCAGGACGTTTATTTCATACTTTGCTTAAATAGCATCCGGCATTGTATAGAATACCTAGGCATTCTACACAATGCCTAGGCAAAGTATGTAATACTTCTCACATTTCATACTTTGCCTGAAAACGTCAGGCATTCTATATAATGCCTATTCATTCTATACAATGCCGGCGTTTCATACTTTGCCGGTAACATATATACAATCAAACATTTTTAACGTGAATTTAAAAATGTTTGAACGTGTAACATCGGGAAAAATGACATGTGTTTCTATGCTCCTCTTACATTACTACAATTGTTTTCCGCTGGTATTTATTGTATTTTCTACATTTTTTTTATTTGCTTGAAAATAATATACTTAATTTAAATATAATATTCCTCTGAATTCAGATTTCCCTCGTGACCATTCACATGTGACGTTTCTCATGATCTGATGACACTGATCATGACCAATATAATAAGATTTACAGAATTTCCTTATTCCAAAGAGAAAAACAGTAAAAACTAGAAAGAAAACTAGTCCCAAAATTATTGAATTGTGATAGTTATCGTTATTGATTACTATCGCTTATGATAATTGTATTAAATGCAAAGAAAACAACCTTAATTCAAAGTTTTTCCGTTCATATTAACTATAAAGAAGGAACAAAGACGTCGGAATAAGAGGTCACTGTGTCCTTCCAAAAATTTTTACTTTACTTGAATTTGGGATACTTTGTTTGACATTTTACTTATTTAATTTTGTCAGCTGTTTAGTTTATCAAACGCATCGCAAATGTAACGAGAAATTCTCTGTGATTTAAGCAATACAAATACGTAAGAAAATTACTTTTAAGCAAATGAACTGCCGTTTGACAAAAACTGTTTCTGCTACTATTGTCAATGACCAGTGTTCCTTTATTAAATTGTAATGAGACGATATTGATTTAACCACGAAAATGATAGAATGAACAGTTCAATGCTTATTACATTCCTTGAATAAGCAATTCCACCTCCCAAAAATATTATCTCGCGGTACCCAAGAGCAGCTGTTCCCAAATGGTGTTCCGGGGAATCCTATAGTTCCGTGGAAGAGTCAAAAGAGCTCCGGGAGTTAAGACTTTTTTTTAAATTTTTTTTTTAAAAAAAATTTTGAAATCTGTAATTACAAATTTTTAGCTTGACTAGATTCGTCTCCAAGACTGCGAATCCAACTGTCAAACATAAAACCTAATTGAAGATTATTAATGATGAAACGATGAAAAAATTTTATTCATCTTCTTATAAATATAAAAAAGTCTATAAGTCAAAAATAAAGTAGTCTTTTATTGGTTAATAAGTGCAAAGTTGTCTTTATTCACCTTAATTATGAAGTCAGAGTTCCGCCGGAAAAAGCTCGATTATTTAGGGTTCGTATCCGAAAAAAATTACGTGCCGCTGCCCAAGAGAACGAGCAAAGATTTTAATTTTCTACAATAGTTTTCTTTAGATTCTGTTTTTTTTAATGTATTTTTATCTCCTTTGGTAATAATTTAGGAAAGTATTTGGCACGCATTATGACATACATGGCAAATCCTTTCGGAAATCCTATACAAATCCGAAAGGAATTGTTTTTTTTCAATTGCCAATTATAAAAAATCGATGTGTAATATTTTTCTTTTATTATTGAAATCAATATTATTTTTCCCCCTGCACAGGTATGTCAGAACGAAAGAAAATAGCTGTGATTGGGGCAGGACCCAGTGGGTTAACTGCTATGAAATGCTGTAAAGAAAAAGGCTTTATACCTGTTTGTTACGAGAGGAATAACGACGCAGGAGGCCTCTGGAGGTACCATGAAGAGGATATCGAAGGAGTTGCATCTGTAATGCGTACAACCATCATCAACACTAGTAAAGAAGCTGGTGCATTTAGCGATTTTCCTCCACCAAAATCCTTTCCAAATTACATGCACAATAGCAAGATGTTCAATTACTTTATGCGTTATGCGGAAAATTTTGACCTTTTAAGACATATCAAGTAAGACATCAAAATTATTTATAAATTTAAAGAAAGCAATGTGATACTAGGTTAAGGAGAACGTCGGATGAAATAATTTAGTACAATTTCAATTTGGTCTCTTATAACTTGTACACATTACATTAAAATCATCCAATGTTGTATAGCTTTCATTTGTACGCAGACTACTATATTTAACGCAAATTGTAGCCTTCTATAACTTTTTTCAGCGATTTCTTGATTTTTCATGCATTCAGTTCCGGTTGTCAGTAGCAGTTTGCATATTTTGGGAAAATAATACTGATGGTCCCAAACTTGTGGGGCTTTTTCCTTTATGATCCCCTGACCCACAATGAGCTGCCGAGTTAGTGAATTTTTTAGGAATTTTTTTTTTAATAAGTTTTGTATATTTAACTACATTGAATGGGAGGGGATTCGTATAATTTTAATTGCACCGCAATCAGTTTAATTTTTGAAAACATTCATTATGATGATTATTAATTAATAGAAATTAGATGTATACAACTAAAACAATGTTTAATCTGACATTTGACGAATTTTGCGTTTTTATTAAATAAAGTCACATAAATTTATATATTTCTTGCACCATTCAGTACACTTGATGAAATTACTTAATTTATTTGCAAATTTCAGTTATCCAAATTACTATTTTTGTAACAGTTCTAAAAACTATGTAATTTTTGTAATAAAATTGCACTATATTTTAATTACTTAAAGATTTCAAGATTTTTTACACAGTTCTGTAAGGTTTTGAAAGATCTGTTAGCCATTTGTCGTTCTAGACAGAAAAACTTTCGAACTTCCTCATTAAGTACAACCATATATTATTTTACAATATGAAAAAATTATAATAAGCAATATATATTTTGTATGACATTATATTTAGGTAATCGAGTTCCATAAATAAGAGCAGAAATTACTGAATTAGTTCTATAAAGTTTCTTTCCAAAGATACAAAAAAGACACAATAAGTAAAAGCATCATTAAAGGGAGTAAAACCACTAATTTACTGATTAAACTATCGTTGCAATATTTTTGAGATGGTAACTACATCCCATATTTTAAAGGACAAGAATCTAAATCCTTTGAGTTTGATCTTATATCTTAATTAAGCATCAGCGCTAATTAATAAACATATCTTGCGGTGCTCAAACTATTAACATTGTGCCAATATTTTACTACTAGACCACTATTAGAGTGACTATTAACTCAAAAATTATTAAAAAGTAAACTTTTTTGCACTTCTACTATCATAAAACTGTTTTTTTTTTTGTTTATTTTTTTATTTATTTTTATTTATTTATTTTTTTAAAATATGTTGTTCCTACAAGTGATTAAAATATTTATTAGGATAAATGTAAGGAGGATTAATTAACTTAAATCCTTTTCCTAATCATCATCCTGATTTTTTATGTGCATTAAAAAATCTTTAGTATGTATCCCACTTTATGCAACTTGCATTGTAAAATGAAGCATATTTTCAACTCGTCTATTTGATTGGACTCTATAAGCAACTTTGAAACTTAGTTTCAAACCAACTAATTCAATTTTTATTTTATTTTATAACCGTCGTTGAACAGCCGACCCGATTTTTTTGGGTTTACGACTACTAATGTTCAACTCCGTAGCCTTGTAATTTTGAACCTAATCAGAAGACAAGGGAGCTCCTGGATCAAGAAGTGGGACAAATTTGCCTACGTGGAGGACTTTTTGATGGAACTAACCCGCATTTGTGTTACATGGAAAGGAAGATCACGAGAACCTCCCACTGTTAGCCTGATGGCAAAGGGACTCTAACCCATGATCTGTGTACCACGGAGGATATTTCACGTCAGCACTGTGGTCGGTGACAGCCGGAAAAAGAATCGTTCCAACCAGCCATCGCAGGGAATTCCAACCCTGCTCACCTGATTGGAAGGAGAACGCTATTCAATTTTTAGAAAAAATAGCATCGGGATGAATGGCGGTCAGGGAGCTGATTCCATTTCAGAAATGTCCCTGGTTTGAATCCCGTAGAAGGCATGGGTGTCTTATCTGTCCTTCTTACTGTGGGGACAACATTAGTCCAAGTAATGTGATGCCCCTGAAAAAGTGGTCAACAAATCTGCCTTTCTGATAACCGATTGAGCAATAACAAAAAGAAAGAAAAATTCTGGAAGAAACTGTGTTTTCTATCTCATTGTTAATATATTCATTTCAACTGATTTGAATCTATATTTTTTTCTCAAATTTTGTTTCATAAGGAATTTCTCATCGAATGGTCTTATACTCTTTTCAAGGTTTAATTTAGAGGTAGTTAAAGTGGAACCTACACCAGACTTTGAGAGGACAGGTCGGTGGATAGTATCAGTAAAGAGTACTCAAACAGAAGCAGTTACTAAAGAAACGTTTGATGGAATTATGGTATGCATTGGCCATCATGTATTTCCAAATATCCCCACTTTTCCAAATCAAGCCAAGTTTAAAGGATCGATTACACACACACATAGCCTCAAGTCTTGTGATCATTATAAGGGAAAAACCGTCGTTGTTGTTGGAATAGGAAATTCTGGAGTTGATGCTGCAGTTGATTCAACGTTTGTTGCAAAGCAGGTGAGTATTTGAAGTTATAAGCATTAAATTATAGTCACACTCTGCACACCTAAAAGAAGTTTCAAAATGAAGGCTGTAAGAATTCTGCAACAAAACTGTAGGAGTCAGTATTGGATAAGAAACATTGCTCAATGCAATATTAATTTTCATAAAAATTAAAACAGCCAACCTCTTTGAGAAAATGAGTAATGAGATCATTTAAGCATCATATGAGATCATTTAAGCTCTTATTCTTTAATTATTTCATAGTTACCATAATTTAGAAAACATGATCCTAAGGATATAATAATTTCGATTTTCATTTTATTTTATTTCAAGCTAAACTACAGCTGAAAATCGTGACGTTAAAGCATTATAAAACATATATTCTTAGAAAATAACATGTGTGTAACAAAAAATGAGTAATGATAAAAAATACCCCTAAGAGTATTAACTAAGAAATGCAAGATCATTCTAGCTCTTATTCTTCAACAGTTTCATAGTTTCAATAATTTAGCAAACATGATCTTAATGTGTAAATAATTTCGATCTTCATTGTATTTTGTTTCAAGATAAACCACTGCTGAAAGTCGAGAAGTTAACTACTCGGTAATTAAATATTACTTTAAGTAATATTAATAAAGTTAAAGTAAAGTTCATATATTCTTAGAAAATAACATGTATGCAACGAAAAATGAGTAATGAGAAAAAATACTTCTGAGAGCATTAAAAAATAGAAGATCAATTAAGCTCTGATTCTTTAAATTACACTCCTCAAAAGTGAAATTGCAACACCAAGAAATAATGCACGTAGCGTCATGCAAATTTCAGGAGCGATAGTAGTGAGGTGGATATGCAAATGATTAAATTTGCGCACGCATCTGATCACGTGGTACGCATATTCGGGCTATAAAGGCCAGCAACTTTCCCTTCTCATAAACGGCATCTGAGGTTTTGCGTAGCATTTGCGACTTTCGAAAAAGCGTAGAAAATGCCTCTGAGACGTCGGCGAGCTCAATACCATCAGTTAACGACCGGGGAACGTGACCGTATTATCGAACTCCATGAACTTGGTTTGTCGCTGCGCGCAATAGCAACTCGTGTTGGGCACAACGTGAGTACCATCCAACGTTGTGTCACACGATGGATTCAGGAAGGTCTACGTGCACGCCGAAGAGGAAGTGGTGCGCACAGGTGCACGTCAGAGCGCACAGACCGGCGTATTCGCCAGTTGACTATTCGAGACCCTTTCTCCACGGCACGTGCCATCCGAAGCCGGTTGCCTTCAGGAGCAGGTGGATCTGTGTCCACCCAAACCATACGCAACAGATTGCATGAAGTACAGTTACGTGCACGGGTACCAGCAACAGGGGTACCGTTGACCGCTTTACACAGGGCTAGACGCCTGGCGTGGTGTCATCGTCATCGTACCTGGACCATCCAATGGCATCGGGTATTGTTCACGGATGAATCTCGTTTCTGTCTGTGGAGAAATGACGGCCGTCGACGGGTATGGCGGCGACCCGGAGAACGCTACGAACCAGCCCATTACGCCGAGCGTCACAACGGTCCTACACCGGGCATCATGGTTTGGGGTGGCATAATGTTTGATCGCAGAACGCCCCTGGTACACATTCACGGCAGTTTGACAGCGGACCGCTACGTCACACAAGTTGTGTATCCCGTTGTTCTGCCCTTGTTGCAGGGCGCACCCAACACGGTATTCCAGCAAGACAATGCCAGGCCGCATGTCGCACGGCGAACTCTTAACAGCCTGACTGGATTTGACATCCTTCCCTGGCCGGCAGCCTCTCCAGATCTGAATCCCATAGAACACCTATGGGATCTCATTGGACGTGGCATGAACAGAGGACCAATGGCGCAAACCATCGATGATCTGCGCACAGCAGTGGATGTGGCTTGGCAAAGGTTACCTCAGGCAACCATCAATGGAGTCATTGATAGCATGCCTCGCCGGATTGAGGCCTGTATAGTTGCCCGAGGTGGCCACATTAGATATTGAATAAATTGCTTTATAACGGTTTTATTAGTCTGTTTTTTTAATCATTTGCATATCCATCTCACTACTATCGCTCCTGAAATTTGCATGACGCTACGTGCATTATTTCTTGGTGTTGCAATTTCACTTTTGAGGAGTGTGTTTCATAGTTACAATAATCTAGCAAAGATGATCATAAGGGTATAATAGATTCTATTTTCATTGTATTTTGTTCCAGGGTATACTACAGTTGTAAGTCCTTTAGTTTAAGAAATAAAAAACGTATTTTTAGGAAATAGAGTGATTCAAATATGACAATAGTATAAGCCTCATTTGACTTCAAATGTATCTTTTCATTAAATTTTATTATTCCAGAGTAATTTTCTCTAACTAATTAAAGGATTTACAATACATTTATTTTTTTTCAATTGCATTTTCAATTTTTTTTTATTTTCAAAAACCTTTTCTTATACAGATTGACGCCTTCAGCATAAAACTACTGTAGGCATGTAACGACCCTCCTAAAAACATGCTGAACGTTTAGTTAATTTAAGATAGAGACATACATAGATACAAGAGTACATACAAGCACGTACGTAGATACAAGAGTACATACAGACACGTACATGGATGCAATAGTACATACGGATACGTACATAGATACAATAGTACATACAGACACGTACATAGTTACAATACTACATACAGGCACGTACATAGATACAATAGTACATGCGAAATAGATTACGTTCATGGATACAATAGTTTATACACAATAGAGGCATGCAGAGATACAAGCATAATAAGCATGCCCATGCATTTTTGCATGAGTGGGCCACTATACTTATAAACGTTTTCCCATTTCAATGAGGTTTTAATACTTAATACTGTTGAATTGACAGTTAATGTTAATTCATAACAAAACGCAGAATTTTACTACATTTTGACCCTTATTCATATCAAGAAGAGAGCCTCCCTCACTCATTTTAAGAGAAATTAAGTGTATAGTATGTGAAAAATTAAATAAAATAAAAAAAGAAAGAGTCAACGAGATACATGTATACATTGGACAATACCCGAGTAGTTTCTTGAAGCCAGTAATTATTAAGTCTTTCATTTATAATTTATTATCCCTTTATATAAGAGGCATTTTATCTTTAATAAGTACGAAAAAATAATATAAATAAACCAAACTAAGTTAAAAAAAAAATACAAAGTGAGAAAAGAATTGAATTTAAAAAATGAGCTAAATGATAGCAAAATAATGTTTTTTTTAATTTTTATTGTTATCTCCATTTTAGCAAAATTTATCTAAAAATTAAAAATCTGGGAATTTTAAGGTTTCGAAAAAATGCACTTGGGTGGGCCTTGCCCATCCCGTAGACATATCTGTGTTTAAAAGTTTTATACAAAAGTGTAGCATAAAAAAGTGCTAAATTTCAAGAAGCACTCCATATATTGAAGATTTTTAATCTGCATTTCCAGCTTAGTCAAAAAAGAAATATTGCTTATTTGGTAGTAATCTGAACAGTATGCGGAACTAAAAATTAAAGAAATTTTAAAAAAAATTACTTGCTAAAAATTCTAACGAACACTATATAGATGGGTTACATTCATTTCACCTTATGGATATATAAGTCCAATGAGATAGGTGAAAGGTTTTCAAACAAAGAACTGACAGTTTTGAAGTTCTTTTTAAGACCCGAAACCCAGCAATTACAAATATATACTAAAAAGTAATGAATCATTAATAATTTAAGTTATTTGAAGAAATACATGGCTTCATTCTGGCGGTAAAAAAGAAACTTCTAAATAATTTTTAGAATACTTTCTATAGTTATAAAATTATAAATCATTGTTAAATTCATTTATATTCTACACTGCAACCACTTCTGAAAACATAATGGATTATAAATAATTATCTTTCAGGTTTATCTAAGCACTCGAAGAGGTTCTTGGATATTATCCAGGGTCGGAACTAAAGGCTCACCATTTGATATGGAATTCAACACTCGAGTAAAAAACTTACTCTTTAGCTATTTGCCATATGATTTAGTCTGTGACAAGGTAGAACAGGATCTTAATTCGAAATTTGATCATGAAACTTATAATTTGAAACCCAAGCACAGAGTCTTTAGTGCACATCCTACGATGAATGATGGCATACCAAATGCTATTCTCAGTGGAAAAGTCATAGTTAAAGGTGATATTGAAAGATTTGAAGAAAATGGTATTGTATTTTCTGGAGAAAATGAGGTAACTGAATGTGATGCAGTTGTTCTGGCAACCGGATATCATATTAAATTCCCTTTTCTTGATAGTAAAATACTTTCAACAGATGGGAATAGAGTTCATTTATATAAATATTCTATCCCACCTCACTTAAAACATCCTACATTGGGCATTATTGGTTTATGTCAACCTTTAGGACCAATTTTTCCACTCTCAGAGATGCAAAGTCGTTGGTTTATGGAAATTCAAGGAGGAAAACTTAAATTACCATCACTAAAAGAAATGGAAGAGGATATTGCTCGTAAAAACGAAGCAAATGCAAAGCGTTATGTTGGCTCAGCAAGGCACACTATTCAAGTAGACTTCATACCATTTATGGATGAACTGGCCGAAATAATCGGTGCAAAACCAAATTTTGTGAAGATGGCAATCACAGATCCCAAATTATTCTGGTATTGCATGAATGGTCCTTGTTTGCCATATCAATTTCGATTAGTTGGGCCGCATGCTTGGCCAGGGGCAAGAGATGCAATTTTAAGTCTGGATGAAAGAGTATACGCTCCTTTAAATAAGGATGCAAAAAAGCCATCTGATAACATATTCTGGAAAAAACCAGCTCTATATTTTGGAGCAGTAGCTGCAATAGGTGCTGCAATTTGCAGTAACTATGAAGTTATCACTCAAAGTTTATACTAATAAAAACCAATTATCTATTATTTTGCGAATAATTATATAGTGCAAAATCAGAACATTTCTATGACATTATGTAACAAAAAAATTTATATTAAATGTATTATGCTTGCTTACACAACAAGATTCAAATATTTGAGAAGTTCATGATATTTTTCTTTCATTCATATAGTTATCTATAAATTAGGGAGTTCTTATCTGCAAAACTGATTTATGTATCTGAGAACTTGATTTTATGTGTCAAGAGAATTTTTTTTTGTCGAAAAAAAAACTTCTTATAGCAGGGAAAATACCACTACATAATCTCCATTTTATTTAATTAACATCATTTAGTTAGTTTGTATTGCACAAAATGAACTATTTTCCCTTTAGTCCTGCTATAACTCGTTCACCAGGAGTTGGCACCTGTATCATGTGGTATGAGACGATACTATTTCGCTATTTTTGGAAGACGGTTGTAAGCAATCCTGAACAAGGTTGCTTTTTGGCGATCGTATGGCAAAAATATTTCTTTCGCGAACTTTATCTGTATTTGTTTAACATTAAATATTTCATAAATTTGATGATATTTCACACCATTTTTATGATATTTCTCTCTTTTGAGTGAATAATTTATCCTTTTGGAGGAATTTTGCTGGGAAAACAGCAGTTTTTAAATTTAAAATATATTTAATTAGCTAGATAAACGAAAGGTATAATAGCAGATGATAAACGAAGTAAGCGAATGAAAAAAAGTCACTGTTTGTGCTTGGCGAGCATTAAGGGTTGTCTCAATTTCAAGCGCGGAGATGCTTCTCTTCTTACTCCCGAGCTGAAATGAACTCTGCGTCCGAGGAGGTGGAACCAAGTGCCAGCTCTTGGTGAATGAACTATAGTTGCACAAGCTACTTACACATTGTTGATGTTGATATAATTGATTAAATTATATGAATAATGGAAAATAATACTAATAAATACAATTTTGCAAAATGATTTACTAAATGAATTTTCTCGGGCTCAGCCATCCTCCATTACACTGAAAATCAGCTGATGAAAGTGGTCAGTCCTAAAATAATCAACACTAGATTGCGGAAACAAATTACATGTTTAAAAACTTAATATATCTTGTATTAATAAATAAATAAAATATTTTTTTTGTTAACTTAACAAATATTTCGTAATGTTATTTATTAACTAAAGCACATTACAAGTTATCTTTCACCTTATTTCAAGAACTTAGCTCTTCATCGTGCAAAATTGCCTTTATTAAGGTTTCCTCAAAACTAAAAATATCCTCTTCAGCTACCCTTAAATTTAATTTATAGGGGGTGATTTGATCACTTCTTCAGTATATTAAATGTAGAAAAAAAAACTTATTTCTAAAATATATGAAAACTTCTAGCATGCAAGAATTTTAAAAGATTCTGCATTTAGGGAAGTAAATAATGGAGATGCATAATATTGGGGCTCAGGGCCCAAATGCTATCATAGTAAAAACTACTTATATCTAAATATAAATTTTAAAGAAATTGCAATTTTTTTAATAATATATTGTGAGAGCCGAGGTGGCTCAGGTAATACAGCGTTCACTTTCCAATAGGGTACCCGGGTTCGAATACCAGCGATGGCTGGGATTCTCTGGTCTATACGAATTCCGCGCCCGTCTTGCACTGACCACAGTGCTGGCGTAAAGTATCCTCAGAAGTTGATGGATCATGGGTTGAAATCCCCTTGGAATCGGACTAACAGTGGGAGGTTTTCGTGATTTTTCTCTCCATGCAACGTACAGGTATAGGACAAAATAATAGGAACACCTGTGCATAGCGGTACTATGTACGGGTGTTCCTATTATTTTGTCCTATACCTGTAGATGCGGGTTAGTTCCATCAGGAAGTCCTCCACGAACGCAAATTTCTCCCAATACTTGATCCAAGAGTTCCCTTGTCTTCTGGATTGGTCTAGACAGGGCTACGAAGTTGAACATCGATTGTCGTAAACTCAAATTTGGGACAGCTGTTTAACGACGGTTATAAAATTAAATAGTTATTCCGAAAAGGATTTTAAAAAAAGGAGTGATAAGGTTTTTTCACCGGAAGAAATTCCTCTCCTTACTGAAAAAAGCTATAATTCTTTCCTTACAATGTTTTAGAAGTCTTCCAGGCACCTGCAATTAAAACTAAAAAGCATCTTGCATATTTTATTTGTCTAGGTTACTCATTAGTGGCCCCCTCACCTTCCCAAAATACAACAAAAGGGATATGATCATTTATGTTTGCATGTGCTATTTTTTACCCTTGAAGTTATAAATGCTTTAGGGTACAACTTTTAAATTTCCTTATTCTTCTTGAAATAAATAGTTTCATAGAGTTAGGCGCCTACTGTAATATTTCGTTATAATACCAGCTTTTTTATTATGCATGGTTTCTCAGAAAAAGGCTTACTCAGAAAAGTAGGGTTCATGAACAGAAAGAAGAAATCCGGGAATTCTTTGTTTAAATCTAGAGTAGATTAGGAACAATGGATATGACAATAAACTATGCTGTGGAAATAAACTATGATATGTTGAAAATTTATATTGAATCAATCCAAGTTAGTTAACAAGAAAGAAAGAAAAAATTTTCGTGAAATAATTATTTTTTGTAATAAATCATATTTCGCAAGGAAAAGTCTTTTTCAAAGCATTATAATTTTAATATTGAGAACTAAACATTGACCTACATTCTCTATAAAATAAAACAATCCTTTTATTATTTATCTCATGACTTATCTTTAAAAGAAAATTTTAAGAGTTAGTGGATTCTTCAGTATGCAATTTTTCTTGACACGTAAGTAATTTGAGAAAAAAGTGCTTGATACAAATCTATAATAAAACATATGATTGTTTTTATTACTTAATTTTACCGGGTTGCTTTCATTTCAGCAACAATCACTTCATTGACAGACCGTTTCATCAACAGGCAGTTTTGGTCATTTTTTCGACAGGCCATTTTGACGACCGAGTCGTTTCGTCGACAGTGTAATTTCGCAGATAAGGTAATTTCGTTTACAGGAGAGTTTTCTCGACAGTACATTTCGTAGACTGGGTCGTTTGAAGGATATGATTATTTCGTCGACAGGGACATTTCGCCGACATGGTCATACGTAATTTTAAAACCATTTTTAGGGTTTGTTCATTTAAACGTGACATCACTTGCATTTCTTCGTAATTTAGTGCATTTATGACGAATTTTTTTAAACCTAGCCTGAATCATAATTTTTATGCTATATTATAAAGACCGAAACGAAGCTTTTTTTTTCTTTTTAAGTTTAAAATTGCCTACTCTTTTTGCTTTCAAAACAAAAACGTTTCAAAAACAAAACCTTTGTAAACTTGATGTTTTAGTTTTTTACACATATTTCTAAGATTGTTTGTTATTTTTCTAAACAGAATAAGGCTTATATTGATTGAGATTTCAATGACTGATGAGTTTCAATAATAAATAATCCACTATCATCTTTTTCGATGAGCATGTCAGACATTTAATTAGATTGTGTCTGCTGATCTTAAACACTTACACTTGCGACTCTAATGGAATAAAACATTTTATTTTTAAGCTAATTTCGAAATGAATGACTAAAAAAGTCCACTGTCATTTTTTCGATGTGCATGTTTAACATTCATTTAGGATTGCACCGACTGATCTTTCACACTTTTCACTTCAGACGCGTTTAAAATATTTTATTTATTAGTTAAATTCGAGATGAATTAATAAAATAAATATTAGTTTCGAAATTTAAAGAATTGTAATTTAAAGATGGTATTTTAAAGTTATGTTAATGCTTATATTTAAAAAAACTAAATGTTTTTTTAAAAACCTTTTAAATTGAAACCACTATATTAAATTTAATATTATAGTAAGTGAAATTTTGGTACAGGAAGAAAAATATATTTCCTTTTATTTTTGATTTCTTTTGTCAAATTTTAATAATTTTTTTTAAAACGAATTACAAATTCCAACTATTTTGCTTTAGTTAAGGTCATTAAAAAATTTTATTACAAAGGGTCGATTTAAAGAAATCTCGTACTTAACTTAATGCCGATTGAATAGGGGGATTTTGATTTTCCTTTCTCAAACATAGTTTAAAATCTTTAATAATACCTTGATACTTTTGTAATTAGATATTATGTTCTCTGATATTCAAAATAGCATACTTTGTAAATCGCGAAAAAAAGCGCGGAAAAAAAGCATTGATAAAAAGCACTGAAAAAAAACAACCCAGAAAAAGAGCATCTCTTTAACATTTGTAAAAACTTAATATCCGATTTTAGTCATGCTGTTGTACCTGAATTTAAAAAGAATCAATTAGTCAATCTTAATTATTTTTAAAAAATTACTACTTATACAATGTTTTATTTAAATTTCAAAGGAACTTCTAAGAATTTATAAATTTTTAATACAATTATACGATATACTATTTTAGTATTATCATAAATAATGGGTTCATTAACTATTGTCTCTCAATTCCTTAATTTTTTGAAAAGTTAAAAATACTAAAACTGAGAGGATGTCAATTAAATTTTCTTTAAAATAAAGGTAGTTATAAAAAGTGTAATTTGTATTTCATTAAATCACAGTACAATAATTATAATTGTAGAAGTTTTGAACATTTTTAGAACTGCCTAAATGTCTTAATTTTGCTGAATAATCTGAAGTTGGGAAAATTTATAAATGTTTTTTTTTCGGAATACCTTGCAAAATCTTGGAAAATATTTATTTTCTATGAAAAGTTTTGGAAAAAAATATTGTTAGTTTAAAAAAATTTTTCAAAAAATGAACAAGCTAACGATAAAGATTGCTGTAATATTAACGTAAAAATGTATTCGTTGTACAAAGAGTAGAATCAGTAGAGCCCGGATTTTGATGACCTAAAAAATCCCAATTAATGCCCTTAAAAAGTGCAAAAAAATGCCCTTCAAGAGTGCAAAAAATGCCCTTAAAAAGTGCGAAAAATGCCCTTAAAAATGCGAAAATTGCGCTAAAAATGCCTTATGACATGACTTAAATAAAGTAAAAATATTGAACCAAAACAATGTTTTACTCTTTAAAATTATTATGAGTCATTTCAAAAAGTATAAAGCAATGGAATGCTTGTTCTACGTTCATTAAAGTTTGAAAAATATGTTTTATATCCTAAAATAACAAAAAAAAGGAAAATATATTGACTCCAAAACATTTTCATTTTGTATAGAAACTTTAATGAATATAACAACTTCCATCTCATAATATTACTAAATATCAGAATTACATTGGAATATTAAATTTTTTTTGTTGATATTTTGAAATGTAAACGAGGGTCTCTTGTCTGAAAGTGAATTTTTATATCTGGAGAAGCTTCTTTCAACAACTACTGATATTATTGGTGCGTACTTGAAAAAGATGGTCTCACTTACTGACAATTCTTCTTCAATTTGGAAAGATGTTGCTTCACCTGTTAATATCCTAGAGATTTTCTTCACTGTTTGGAAGCCAGTGTAATAATAAAAAATGATAAAAAAATAATAAAAATTGGAAAAAATTAACAAAAAGTTTAAAAAATGTTTTAAAATGGAAAATAAGCCAAAAAATTTAATGAAAAATGCCCTATAAATCTAAAAAAATGCTCTAAAGGACAAAAAATGTCCAAAAATGCAAAAAATGCAAAAAAATGCAAATGTCATCAAAATCCGGGCCTTAGTGATCAGTAACTTAAATTATGACAATTTTTTAGTAAGTGACAATTGGGTATCAAAACGTGCCGAACTGAAATGCATCTTTTTTTATAACGAAATGAAAAGAAAAAAAAAGAGGGGGCGAGACAGGATTTCAGAACTCAAATGGTTTTGTCATTGTTAGAGTGAAAAAAATATTTTGTTTGGAAAAGTTGCAGAACAAAGAGCAAATCACCGGTACTTCCGACATTGAAAGACTGACCATAAAAAATTCTAAATAAGTTGCCGTCGCAATTCCTAGGTT